CCTAAACTTTTCATACGAAACATTTTTCTCTATCCCTACTAGTTTTCGAGATATTTGACTGGATCACTTCAGATGGTCCACCCTGTATATATATATATAAGGCCTTTCAAAAAGTTCTTTATGAAATATCTTAAAGATGCTTCTTAGGCTGGTATTCATAGTCGAGTCTTATTTCAAGACCGTCTCAAGTAATATCTTAAGACGCTAATGCAGCCTTCTGATTGGTTCATGATTTCTTAAGGCCGTACTTAAGACGATCTTGAATATAAGATCTGACTATGAATACTGGTCTTAAAGAACTTTTAAAGAATTCTTAATGTTGTCTCGTGCATCGATTTTAGACGTTTCTTTCATTGGGTTTATAAGCGCCATACCTACACGGACAATATTTTCGAACTCTTCAGCGTTTTATCTGGGAAATATAACACGCTTATCTTTTTCCTTCCAAACGAGTAAAATATCTAAAACTGATGCAAAATCAACTTTATTGGCATTCCTTTAGTAAATATGTAGAAAAAAAAATATTTGGTTTCTCGTACGTCTATTCCAATCGAATGATCCCCGCAACATCGATTTGACAATAGGGCAATTAGTGAAATGGCACTAGTGTCATAACTGTGTTAAAAGAAAAATAATAATAGATATAAGATTTTCATTTCCAAAGAATTAAGGTAAATTTTCACGAGCTGCTCTAACCGGCTATTTTAGCGACAAAAAGGATCACGTGATCAAAATGGACATTTGATATTCGTCAATTTTGACCACGTGATTCTTTTTGTCGCTGAAACAGCCGGTTTGAGCAGCCCGTGAAAATTTACCTTTATACTGCAAATGCTTTACAACAAACTTTGCTTTATTTCCATTGTTTTTCCAAAAAAACAATTCTCCAAAGTAATTTATAATTTTAGATTCAAGATGGTCTAACCCTTTAATTGTTAAATTTAATTTCATTATGACATACTTCCCAGGTAGCAAGCTACGTCATTTTGACATCAAATGACGTCTTTTTGACGTCAAATCACGTCATTTTGACGTCAGCTTGCTACCAGGGTTCTTAAATTAAAAGACGTACATATTTGCCAAGAGTGGATACTTTTACACTCACAAATTTTAATGTTGCGTATTTCGTAGAAGTACGCACTATAATAATATTTAATGCACCTTACTTTATTCCGATAAACGGAATAATTCCGATCGGAATCCATTCCGACATATTTCATGATAGGTACCCTGGGTACCTATTATGGCAATAATCAAAATGGATTCCGATCGGAAAAAAAAATTATTTCGTTTTCTCCAGAAAACACAATAGAAATCTAGGGAATAATTGAATAATTTCGATCGGAATCAATTCCGAACATTTCCATAATAGGTACCCTGAGTACTATCATAGAACAAGTCGGAATCGATTCCGATCGGAAATATTCAATTATTCCCTAGATTTCTATTGTGTTTTCTAGGGAAAACGGAATAATTCCGATCGGAATCCATTCCGACATATTTCATGATAGGTACCCTGGGTACCTATCAAATCGACATAGTAAACCGAGCTGAAAGCTATGCCGTGCAGCGTGGTAATATGCGTTTCGTGCGTCGATGAGTTCCAAGTTAAAACAAGTATCGCAAAGGATTTCTCGGTTTTCGCTATTCAGTCGTACGCGAGCGGTAACACAAATAGCGCCGACGAACCAGGTACTATAGGCCTCGTCGCGCATGACAGTTTCACGTACATGGGCCGCTCCGGCGTTGGGCTCATGGCACGGGATCATAAGCCTGAATCCTCATACGGGCAACAGCACTCTGACACCGAACGCTGATTGGTGAAAAATGGATGATGGTGGTAAATTTTACCCCCACAATCGGCTTTTCACCAATCAGCGTTCGGGGTCAAAGCGCTGTTGTTCGTGGCCGTGGTCCGAATCATGCTGACAACGCTCATGAGCATTGTTTGTCTTCGTTTAACATTTGACAAACAACAAAGATGAAATGATTTTTAAGCGTTGTGAGCGTGTATCGGATCGCGGCCCGTATGAGGATTCGGGCTAAAGCTGGAAACACAATAGGCACAAGCAATAGGCACAGGCAACAGGGAATAACGAGCCGTCCAATCAGAGCTTTGGGGTATAAGTTCGAATGTCGGTCTTTAAAGGCCCGTCTACAATACACGGAGTAAGAAGTAAGAGTAAGAAATTGACCAATCACAGTCGAATGTGAGAAGAATAATCGACTGTGATTGGT